CATTAGAAAACAAAGAGTGTAATTTTCAAATTAGATCGTAAGTGAGAGCTAAGTTTCACTGGTCACCTTCAGTAAACTAGTTGACTTATAAATATTGTGGCATTAACTCTAAATCTTAGCTAGAATGAGCTATGTGAAGTATGGTTCAGAAGTTAAGTCAGAAGACATGACTGTGTTCATTTATCAGTAGTTCCTTATCTGTTGTCTGCATGCATCACTCTTGCTCTAATTCCCTTGGTATTTAAGGAAAACATTTACCTATGTTTTTGTAGCAATGCATCCTAGACTTTTCATTAATTCCTTTTTCCTATGCATGTAGTAGGTACTAATTTATTTGTTTCTTTTCTAATGTCATTTTCTCATGAACATAAGAAAATCCACCACATTAGAGAATAAACCTTGATTTCCTCCAATGCCTGAGGTTTTTTTTTTCTTTTTTTTTTTTCTTTCTTTTTTTTTCTTGTTTTGGTGTACTACCATCACCCCCTGCCTGCATTCTAGACAGGTAGCTTTTTCCAAAACTGTCCTTGGTACCATTCACAATTTCATCAAGTCCCTATTTCCCTGAGGAGAATCATTCACTTGTAATGTGTGAGATTCTCCCTGGCTTCGCCGAGTCTGTGCAGCAGCTTTACTTATGTCTTAAATGTATCAGTAATCCTCGGAATACAAAGACCTTCTTTCATCCATAACAGGCACCCAAAGTCGGGAAACAGTTCACAGATGCTGTATTAGTATCAGCTTTCTCTTAACGCAAGCCGATGTTAATAGATATCTGTATTAAGACTTCTAATTTCATCTAAATTCCTGTTCTTCCTGAATATCATACATGACACCACATCAGTTTGAACCAGATATTTGTTCTCTGTTTTGCATACTCAAATATATACATTTCTTGTATTGGTTTTACCAGGCTCCATTCCAGGCTCCCAATTCCTCAGTCACTTTTCTCCTCTAACTAGCACATCTCACAGATACCACCTGTGGAAGGTGTTTCCTAAGCAGTGCTGTTAGTATCCTGTTAGTCTTCAGAGTTTCTAGCCACCACCTCTGAGGCAGGGTTTCTCTGTGTAGCCCTGGCTGTCCTGGAACTTACTCTATAGATCAGGCTGGCCTCAAACTCACAGATCCACCTGCCTCTGCCTCTCAGGTACTAGGATTAAAGGCCACTGCCTGGCTCAAAGAACTTCTTTTTATATGGGTTTTATCAGTTTATCGTAATACATTGAAATGTAAAATATTTATGAGTAACAATATTTAACAATTATATTTTAACATCAGTAACATGTTTATAAAGTTAACTTTTAAAAATGAAGGCCTTCACAAAGTAGCATTAAAATACTTTTGCTAGGCAAACAAAAGAAAAACACACATAAAACCACAGAAACATTTAAAATAGAAACAATAATATACAGGCAAAAGATCGATAAGACAAAAAAAAAAGCCAAATGAGGCCAAAAAAAAAAAAGTCTACAAAAATACCATTATATTCAATTTCTGTTGGCCATCTACTGCTGGGCATGGCACCTAACCTGAAGTGTGCTTAATGTACTCAGACTGTCTGGTTAAGTGCTGACAGCTACTGTCAGACTTCTGCATGTAGTTCGCTATGACGGATGGGTGAAGTGCATGGGAGAATTCAGCTTTGAATGGCATGTAGTTGGAAGGAACTTCAGATGAATCAAAACTTGACACGGGATATTTGTTTCAAAAGATTGATTGCAAAATGGAGATCCGAAGAATATCAATGACTTGTAGCCTTACACTAAAATCTCTATTTAACTGTACATAATGAATGGCCAATTGAAAAATATTCACTGAGTTATACAGACCTTCAGAACACTGATATGTTTCATAATGTAACTTTCTTGTAAACTCACATTTTAAAAAAATCATTTTTTTGAGAAAAGTCTGAACTTAACATTGTGGTTAGAAAGTCAGCATTCACAGAGATTTTACTTGGAAGTTCAGATTTTGTCACCATTGGTAATATTTTCACTCGTCAGACTTCTTCTACCTGTTCTTCAGCAAGTGTCTCCTAGGTCTTCACAGCTCAGGAGCTACAAGTCATTCCGTTCTTTACACACAAACCAGAGAGAGATGCCGAGTGGCAAGTGACACTTGCAGTTCAGATTAGCTTCTTTTTTTTTTTACAGATTAGCTTTTTGGCTTCCGAGTGGAGCGCATCTGCTGTCTGCGGCCTTCTGGTTGGACAGGCAGTATTTCTAAGAAGCAGAATGTGCTGCAGATGTAGTTGGGAGTGCACATGTTCTCCTCCACACCCGGGCTGGGTTCCCAGCTCCTCCCTCTTCCGTCCTCCCTCTTCCATCCTCCCCCAGCTTCTTGTCACTCCAGTGTCCAGGGAGCCGACACGCTTGGCTTCTGCTTCCCTCCACGGCACCTGCAGTCTCGTGCACATGCCTAGGCGTCATTAAAAATCAATTTTGAAGGGTTTTAAGAGTCAGGGTTTGATACAGTTTTGGTGTGCTTTGTCAAGATGGTGTTCTTAGGTGAAATTGTTTTCACTCTGAGATTGTAGTAGTTGCTCTTTGGTCCATGTACATGTGCCAGTAGTTTGACCTAACCAGAAAAAGCTACCAAATGACATTTTAATACTGTCTCAGTATTAAGAAAATAATTTTAACCTCACAGATGCCATGAAAGGGTCTCTGTCCTTGGTTCCCTGAATCCGTGGACAATATTTTTTGACCTGCTTCTTAAATACAAACGTGTCGCCCTTGTTGACCCCACTTTCTTAGTTTCACCCTTTATTGAGTTCCCCCCTTTGTCAGCTTGATAGTTTCCTAATCTGTTCATTACTGTATTTCTCTCCCCTAGTAAGTAATCTTACTGGCATATAAATCTGTGTCAATGGCCCTTATTAAAATCTGCAGTATGTTCCATCAGTTGGGTGGAATTCTGATCCCTTCATAGGACACAAAAGGCTGTTTATTATCATACATATCTTACTACAGTCTCTTCTTACCACTGTATACCTCCTGTTTCAGCCAGGGTCAATTGACTGTTCATTCTCCAAACACAATTGTTTCTGCAGTCCCACACGTTTGCATATACCGTTCTTTGTACCTTAAATATCGGTATCTCCTACATCTACCTCTTACTGTATATCATCTTTTTAAGCTACTTGCTGTCCCACTTAGAGAATTCTGTGTTAGAAGTGTTAAAGCACTTAGTGCCGATATCATTCTTCCCCACTAGACTGCAGACCTGCTTGAGATCAGGAACTGTATCTTCTTATACTCTCAGACGCCCTAAAAATGAAGCACATAAGACTTGTTTAATTCAGACTGAGCCGTTGAGTGAACTTCATAGAAATTACTGTGAAAATGCAAATTAACTCTATGATATTTTTTCCTTTTTTAATATAACCTGTAAGTTCAGTTACTCCTCAATAGTAAAAGCTCTAGACAGTTAGGAAATACATGTGTAAACATATGTCTCTGCTTGATTAAATGAAGTATATTTTTATTTTCATACTTTAACTGAAAGTAAAATTGAAGGGATTTCTGGAAAATTGTGCTGAATCAAGTTTTGAGAAATTAATATATTCAATTCATTGCTGCAACTCAAATTCTAACCCTATTAGATTTTTCCCCTATTTAAACACTCTCATAGTGGCCAGTATAGTGGTATGTCCTGTCCCTTCAACTCAGAACTTGGGAGGCAGAGAGAGGCGGGTCTCTGAGCTCGAGGGCCGCCTAGTGGAGGCTCTCTATTGAGACCCCATCTCAAAACAAACGAGCTGTAATTGTCAAAAGGAAATAGTTCTTTATTAATGTTTGGAAAGTACTAGCAGCATTCAAGCTTTAAAGTGTGTCCTTGACTGTATGTGCTCTTAAAACTTAGCTGATTATATTTCTATTTTAGCTTAGTACAGTACAGTCCTGTGAAGAGGCTCCTGTTGGGAAGGTATCTGACTTCAGGAACCCATCAAAATGCAGTTTTCAGTAGCAGAAAGAACCTTTTTCATAAAGAAAGGCAGTTCTTACTAGAATTTTTTTTAACGTTTGAACTTCAGAAGTCTGATTTTTCTTATATTTAAGAAGTTTTATTGTCCAGCACTTATTTCATGTGTGTATATAAAGATTAAATACAAATTACTTGAAGTAAATTTTGTAGATTATATTGTCCTGCCTGTTGACCAAGTCACTGTTCGTTAGCACCCAAGTGGAGGAGATTAATTTTTCAAAGCCCAGGCATCACTTTGGGCCTCATTTAGTTTACTGTGACTGAGTTGGCATGGCTCAGCTTTCCCAGCCCCCAGCTAGATAGTCCATAGGAAATGTAATGCTTACAGAACTCGAGAAAATTGAATCTTTGTGACACCTTTATGTACTTGATTTCTTTGTAATACATTTATTGATTTTTCTGTCCTCCTTTAACATACATTTACTATCTAAAAGCCAGTCATGGTAGAAATTTCCCGACCCTGAATGATTCTGAATTAATGAAGTGTGTATCATATAGTCATATATATATGGTCTTCAGTTTTTCCAGAGACACTTTTGGCCAAATACTGTATTTTGGGATTATGTTTGGACTTTGCTTTTGTTCTTCTTTCCCCACTGACTTCAGGATTGATGAGCCCTGTGTCAGTGTTGTGGGTAACTACAGTGTCCTGGGGCCTACTAAGGAGTGAAGGAGCCTCACTCCACTAAAAGTACAGAAAATGATTGTAAGATACTAGTCATTGGTACCCTGAGAAAGAAGTGAATATATTGAGTTAGTGGATTTATAAGAATAATAGCAAGTTTTATAATTTCATAAATATTGTTTGAAAAAGTTCCCTTGTGTACTCTTGTACTTCAAAGGAAAAATATATGGAAAATTGAAAACCAAATATATATAATTATTTTGACCATAAAACCTGTTTTCCAGCATTCATTTATTACAAACATTGTCATCTGTTTCTTTTCTTTATTTCATAATTTTGTAATTCTTCATTTTTTATCTAATTTGACATTTTCATATTTTTAAAGGTCCCCAGGTGCATCCAATTTTTCAGCTTTACCAAAGATCTCTCCTTCATCTCTGTCAAATAATTATAACAACATCAACAGCAGAAAGTAAGCACTGCATCTTAAACTCTTTCTCTGACTGGTTGGCCCTGTTAAGGTTGCAAATTTAGGGTAAAAGTCTTCATGAATCAAAATGTGCTTTCTCTTAAATCATGGTCAGTTCTTCCAAGAATCACTTCACTAGAAATAAAACACATTTTAAAAACTACTTGATTTAATACAGGATAGTATATAATAGCTGGCCGAGAAATAGAGCTTTCAGAATTTTATATTCTAAAATTCAGATTCTGATTATTGACATTTTCATAGGAGTTTGTTACAACTCAAGTTGATAGGATGAACATAAATCTCATGTGTCATCTTTGTCTGAGAGTCACCCATAATAAATCACCCCACCCATGTGTCAGTGATTCTTAGCTGGAGAGCAGATCCTACAGAAAAAGCAATTTTTCTTAATGGTTTCTTTTCTCCATAATACATGATATTTAAAATTATGTAGTTTGTGAAAATACGTGCTTAACTGCTTTTTTAAGAAGCTGAGGGCTGGAGAGATGGCTCAGAGGTTAAGAGCACCGACTGCTCTTCCAGAGGTCCCGAGTTCAATTCCCAGCAACCACATGGTGGCTCACAACCATCTGTAATGAGATCTGGTGCCCTCTTCTGGTGTGCAGACATACAAACAGAACACTGTATACATAATAAATAAATAAATCTTTAAAAAAAAAAAAGAAGCTGAAAGTCGCCTCGGCCCTTCCTGTAACATCTGACTGCGAGTGTGCTGCCTGGACAATCTCACTCCTGTGAAGTCCGCTCACCCTTCCACCTGCAGTGGGCTTCAGGGTGAAATCAGTCACCAGGCTTATGTGCCAAGCATTTTCCCTGCTCAGCTATCTCACTGGCAAAATGGGCCGTTTTTATCTTAGTGAAAAAGTAAAAAGAAAACCATTTTCATTGTAATTTGCTCAACCAGTGTATGAGAACTTTTATCCAAATATATTATCCATCTTTATTAATGGGTATGATATGTACCTTGTGGTTATGTGTTACTTTCACAGTTCAGATGGCTTACACATTAGTGCACTTCACAAATGGCATCTAATCTATAAATTCATAAATTTGAAAACACTAAAGCAGTTTTTTAAATAATCATAAATCATAATTACATTTATGAGTAATTACATTTATGAGTTTAATTTCCTTGTTAAAATCCTCATGTTTTGCCGGGCAGTGGTGGCGCACGCCTTTAATCCCAGCACTCGGGAGGCAGAGCCGGGCGGATCTCTGTGAGTTCGAGGCCAGCCTGGGCTACCAAGTGAGCTCCAGGAAAGGCGCAAAGCTACACAGAGAAACCCTGTCTCGAAAAACCAAAAAAAAAAAAAAAAAAAATCCTCATGTTTTGTAGGAACTTGGTAAAGTGACCCTGACACATCTAAATAGCCAAGATCATTTTAAAGGGGAAAATAATGAGAAAGGTTAGTTCTGTAACACACTACAAAAATAGAAACTGTAAACGGCACAGTTTCATCCAAGAGTACACATACAATCAGACAGCCCAGAACATCTTTATGTGTAAAAGAATTTGATGTCATCACAAAGCATTCTTAGCAATGAAAAATGTTTCAGTTATTCAAGAAATGCCATCCAAAAGATTGTCTAGCTTTCTGGATGGTTTTTCTTTAGAACTTTCAATCCAAGATTATTATCAAGCATTTAAAAGAAGGTAAAGAAATTAAGAAAAATAAAAACACTTTTTTAAAAAAAGATATCAAATTCATAAAGGTTAGAGATTTCCTCAAACAAAAGACTAAATAATATAACTGGGTAATGAAAGGAATTGAGTATAAATATTATACATGTCAAGCTCCCCACTAATTAGTTTTGTAAGCTACAACCATAAAAAAATTAAACTATGATATCTATTTGTGTAAGGCTTTCTTCTGAGTAGCTGTAATAGTGACACATTTCTTTAGTAATAAGTTTCCCAATTCAGATCAAGCAAGCTTAAAACATATCTTCATTTCATAATTCATAAGAATTATATATATACTATATGTTAGTATTACACTGTAGTATAATAGTAAAACATGAAGGTGTGACTATTGATGTTAAATTTCTTTCTCTTCCACATAAAAATATATAACAGCAGGAAGAGCTTCTCAAGAAAGAAATATTTTATAACCCAGTTTTTATTTTACATGTATTTTCATTCATCAAAATTACTTTTTGTAGGGGATAAAATTTTATGTTTGTACCAGTTGCATGCAGATGGCTCCCACATCTACTATGAAACTTACGCCCTTATATTCACTTTTAAAGCAGTTTTAACATGTATTGACTATAGACTGTATTTTGACTGGAGTCATTGTGTTGTATATGTGGTTTCTTGTTTCCCTGTTTTTGTCTTATTTTCTCCCTTCATATAAAAAAAAAAATCATAGTGTGCTCTAGTCTCAACCACTGAAAAGAGAAACTCCTGAGGGAAACTGGAGATTATTTTAGGGACTTAGGGTAGGAACTCCCTCCTGAGGAACTGCTGTGAGCATTTGTGAGCTTGAAAGTAAGTCCTATGTATGTATGGCTTCCCTTTCTGAGTAATGAACAGAAGTAATTTAGGGAGCTTTGTTATATATTTAAGTAATTATTTGACATAAGGTTTGTTTCTTCAGTTTCACTTGACTTGTGGAAATAATAGTAGGCAAAGACTAGATAGAAACAGTATCGTTTCACTACAAGTCGGTCAACAAGATAGAGACCTCTCTAGGGAATGGAGTATCAAACTTCATGTATGTGGGCGTGGTCTACAGAATTAAATCGTATATTACAATTTGCGATTATACTGCAGACTTAATTATATATTAAGAACAGAGATACACAGGATTGTATGAAACATATTTATAATTCCAAGACTAAAATTATTATAAACTGATACGTCACTATTTATTGTAACTGTGATAAAGTACACTCACAATTTAAGTTTAATAAAATGTTTTTATTTAAAAAAAACTGTGAAGTCTGTTTTTAGAATACTGTTCATTTACCCTGTACAATAATGTTACTTCTTAGGTCATAAAATATTTTTGCCTCAATTACAATTGATGAACATTTTTTAAATATGCTAATTTTTTAACTGTTAATGGTTTCATTGCCTTTATTTTTCTGCCTTATTGTATTTGATAATATTACTAATGTCGCTATTAAAGCTATTTTAATGATCTAGGTTTTAACATTCCTTATCAAAGTAGGTGTTTTGTTAATTTGTCTGTTTCTTTTGAAATTAAAATGATACCTTGTATGAGATTAAGTCATAGCAATAACCGTAGACTTTGTGATCTTCTAGAACTTGCCATCTGTTTTTGCTGAGTGAGCAAGGTGAACTCGTTTTTGTTAACTGTGAAGTGAGCATGATTAAATATATGTTTATGATGTCAGACACCAATACTAATTGGAAAGTCAATCAGAAAGTTAAAAAGTCAGATGTACAAAACTTTCTCTTTTCACATATCACCATTAAAGAGGATTTACAATACAGTATTAACTCAGTACAGTATTAAAATTCCTACTAATGCTTCTGTAAACTTAATCTTTCCAAATAGTATTTAAAGATGATGGCTACCTTCCAGTCGTTAGCAAAAAAGAGAAGCAGAAGCTTCCATGGGGCCTAGGAAAGCTTTTTAAGTCAGCAAGTATTCTGTCGGGTGTGCAGACAGCTGCTAGCTTCTGCACTGACCAGGACAAGTCCTCTGTGCAGTTCAAATACATAACACGGATCAGCATTGTGCATGTAGACTGTCTTAGTCTTTGGGTAAGCATTATACTGATCCTGCATTTAAACCAAAGTATAGACACCTCTGAAGAGATTCAGGTTTTTTTAAACAACCAGAAAACGGCTTTGCATATAAGGTTTTCCCATTTCAGAGTAAGTAAAAAGTCTAGTGCATTGTGAAACAATCTGTTTTACTTTTAGCATAAGACCTTGGTTTTCATTCATGTTTGTCCTAATGAATTAAAAACATTCCAGTATCTATTTATGTTACATGTAAGGAAAGACAGCTGAATATGTATTTCAGAGATAAGCATGTAAATTTGCTTTAATTGGTGTGTGTGTGTGTGTGCGCGTGCGTGCGTGCACGTGTGCGTGCGTGCGTGCATGTGTGTGTGTGTGTGTGTGTCTGTGTGTACATGCACGCACATGAGCATTCAGGAGTATGTAGTAAGGGTACTTTGATCTTTTGCTCTGGCTACTTAAATTTCACAGCCAGGGTGTATGTTTTTTCTACTCTATAATATGTAGAAATGTCTAAGAAATACAGACCTTTTAAAAACTGTATAGGAGATCTTGATTTTAATTACATTCTGAATGATGATACATTAAATTCCTAACAGGTACCTGGTAAGTCTTTACTTACTAGGACTATAAAACAAAACAAAATATAAGTTAGATGGCTAGTAATTTAAAAAAGAAACTTGAATTCTGTCTATCTATTTGTAATTAAATTCAAAGCAAAAACCCTAAGTCCAGTGTTTGTGAGTTTTATTTCATCAAGGTTCTATTTCTCTGGGCCTTGATATTTTCATTTAATCTTAGAGTGGATTCTTTTTTGGAAAGTCAGGGAATTGATATTTTTGTTGTTGCTAAGAGGGGGATGTACTTTTTTTACGCACTAAAAATAGTCATAGTCTGATCAAACACACTTAGGAGAAATCTAAAGGCGAGTTTTATGGGATTGTATTATGTGGAAGAGTAAATAAGAGGGTAACCAAGCTGAAAGTCTCAGCTTCAGCTGTGGGGATGGAACTGGGTAAGGGGAGAAATGTGCTTGTCTGAGTTAGAGGCGAGTCTGCAAATGAGCTCTAAGAGGTATGGAGTCCTTCCAGAAAAAATGAGGTTTCCTGACTGCTGGCGCAGATGTGCTTAGGAGTTAGGATAGTACCAAAAGAGAGAGAGAATATGACAGGTCAGGAGAGCAGACAGGCTTGGCAGTGAAGATCTATAAGCAACCGCATCAAAGCAGGTCCTCTGGTGTCCATAGGACTGTCTGCTTAGAGAAGAGAATCATGTCAGCACGTCTTCAGACACAAGAGCTTTCCTGAGGCATGGCCTTGCTCTTTAAGGGGGAGGAAGGGGGCAATGACTTCTGTAATCCTGTAGCCTTCATTGCGCGGTGGCTGTCACCCTTCCATTGCACGCTAGCCTGTAACACAGCTCCTCATGGTGTGGTGACCCCAACCCTAAATTACTTTCATTGCTATTTCATACCTGTGATTTTGCTACTGTTATGGATCGTAATGTAAATATTTTTTGGAAATAGAGGTTTGTCAAAGGGATCATGACCCATGGGTTGAGAACCACTGTTTAGAATGTTGTCTCCACTCAGGGCCAGAGATAAAATTCAGATCACATTCTGTTGACCAAATTCACTAACAAAGTCGATTTCAAAATAAGTAAAGAAAAAGATTTTAAATAAAAATAGCTATCCTTTACAAGGAAGAAGAAACTTTCCTATAATGTGCCTCAGCCAAGCTCTACGTGGTGTTCCTAAGCCTAAAGACAAGACTATAATAGTGTATTGCCATGAAAGTGCTGCAGAGGCTGACCTTGAGTAAAAGGGTCTGTGCCCGATGACCCCTGGGCCTCTTGATGTGTGACAAGCTCCCTAACAGTTGTGTCTACTCGTGGGCTGTTTTATGTTCCTGTTGTCTGTCTGGTATGGTGTGCATATGTGTACTAAAAACCTTTGTAGAATAAGCAATGCTGTAGTTCATGTAAACCATTCTAATCTAGTGGGAGTGTAATGTATAGAAGAACAAAATGGAGTATTTGAAATTATGAGGAAATTAAATATCAGGAATCAGTTATAGCCAATCAGTATTATTTGAGTTACTGATTTATTGTGTTTATTTGTAAAACTACATTTTATTTTATACCATCATTTACTTTTATCCCATGACCTTGATTTGCATCCAGGTTCATCCTAATGAATAAAAAGGACCGAAAATATGATTTTTTTGAACTGTTTCCAAAGTACTCTTATAAATATTCTTATAAAATAGCTACCCTATAAAAATTAAGAATTCATCTTTCTCATAAACTTATATAAAAATAACAGATTTAACTTATTAACTTCTTAATTCTAAAATTATTCTGATTTCCTAAATTATAGATTATAGAGGTTTTTTAACATTTATTATACTGTCATTTTTTTTTTTTGAGTTTATAAAGTTAAAGTGCAATATTGCAGCAGCTAGAAGAAAAGGCAAGTGGTAATGCTTGGATCCCTTAGCACACGCTCCTTTCTGATTCCTGATGAGCGGCCGGCCGTTCTCTGCATTTCAGTACTGGATTTTGCTAGCCTAGCTTAGAAGCTGTAAATAGAATCTTGAGCGCATCTCACCAGTGACATCACAGTGGCCTTGGGCCTCACAGTGTTCACCTGTAACTAAAGCCCAATTCTCTGGGTCCTGAAGCTCTCACTCCTACCATAGAAGGCAAACTTAAAGAGACATAAATGAGATGATGTATTGCTGCGGGTGGTGTTTAAAATCTGAATGTTTTAATTTTGATGGAGCAATGCAGAGTGGAACGAGCCATGACGCTGCTCCCGTTAATCCAGGGTAGAACGACAGGACAGTGGGTTTTAGTGAGTGATGTGGCTCTTGATATGGTGCTTTGTTGCTTGGATAAAGAATGCCTTAATTAGTAAAGAGGTTACTTTGAAAGTGGTATCTCAAAATGTACCGGTGGAGTGTTCAGTAAAATATACTTAATGATTAACCACATATTTCATGCATATGCTTAAAGTACTCTTTATTGTGATATAATTGGCTACATTTTTATAATTTTTTCTTCCAGTGTGAAAAACTCAAATTACTGTCTCCCATCATACACTGCTTATAAGAACTATGATTATTCAGAACCTGGAAGAAACAATGAACAGCCTGGCCTCTGTGGCTTAAGTAACTTGGGAAATACGTGTTTCATGAACTCAGCTATTCAGGTAGGTCTTTCCTAAGAGAATGAAACTCGCGTTTCATGGTATTCATTCTACAAAAAGAGTAGACTTGTTCTGTCTTTATTGTTTTCATAGGTAAGAACATTACATGTTTTGACAGTTTGTAATTCATGGGCTATTTAAGCATGCCCCTGTGGCTCATGCTGCTCGTAGTAGGATGATATCCTGCCTCCTAGTTAGGTAGCGTGGTTCATTGCTGTAGTCATACTGAATGGTACTTCATGCAAGACATACAATTCCAAGCAGGAAATTTAAATTCCCAAAGTAGAAGCAGATAGTGGCCTCTCTCCTTTAATCAGTAGAGTTCTGTTGCTTTAAAGGATACATTCTTAAAACTTTAATGAAGGCTTGACATTTAAAAATAGAGAAACTCATTCTTCCTTTTCCATACACGTTTTAACTCCTTTCTCGTCAAGAGCTTTTGGCTTGGGTGTATGAGAAAGAGATGATTACTACCTCCTTGTCCATTTCTTTCCATGGAACTTTACTTCTTTCTCTTACATTCTGTTTATTATTCTTCATATTTGTTAAATATGTCTTTAATCTGACGTAATGAAGTATATATTGAAGTAACTATCATATATATAAATTAGAGCAGGTTACTTCATTCCTGTTTTTGGTTGGTTGGTTGGTTGGTTGGTTGGTTGGTTGGTTGGTTGGTTGGTTTTTTTTGAGGCAGGGTTTCACTGTGTAGCCATGGGTGTCCTGAACCTCACTCTGTAGACTAAGCTGTCCCCGAACCCATGGAGGACCGCTTGCCTCTGCCTCTCTAGTGCTGGAATTAAAGGCATGTGCCATCACTTGCTGGCACTTAATTCTCTCTCTTTTT